TGTGAACCAGATGTCTGTATGTTGTTTATATTCTTTTTGACCCTCCTGAAACTCCGAAGAAAAAGATTTTTATATTTTAAATTCTTTTGCATTACATTTCTTTTAAAAGCAAATGGTCTTAAAAGTTTATTTTAAAAGACTTAATATATTAATATACTGAAATCTTAGTAATAATACAGTTAAGGCTTTCATACATACTAAACAAAAGATTTATCAAGAATACAAACATGATATTAGTTAAAAAATTATTTTTATATATTTTAAAAAGATTAGCTCTGCAGCCACACAACCATTGTTCTTTGACATCACTAGAAAGCCCAGGATATACTCTTTACTGTACATTAAGACTCAAACAGGCTACATGCATGGTGTTTAAATAGAGCCCTCATTGCCATGTCCCCCATAGAGGACAAAAATTAATTGCCAGGTCTCGGGAGGATTTATAGGAGTTGAGAGGCGCTTCACATAAATAAAATGGACTCACTGAGATGAATATCGGTTTGGAATTAATTTTGGGTTGGAATTTGAATAGTTTCTTTGTTTCGTGCTTTGTTTCAGTATTTAAATTAGTCTTGCATACACATGGACACACAGATAGAGGAGAACACAAATTCTCTATGAAACAGTGGATTCAGCAAAAAGTCTGGTTAATACTGAGATATTAATTTCTGGGGTTCAACACTATTAAGCAGCAAAAAAGTCACAACCTCTCACCAGAAGCTGTGATTGAATGAGCCAAGTCTTTCAAACTAACAAAGCGGGGTCAGTCTCCAGGTTTAATGTTAAAAATGCCTCCTCCATAAATGTTGACATAGAGGTCATGTAGTTCTCTTCATCTAACTAAGTCTCGTACAGTAGCTCAGTATGTATTCCCTGTGTGGCAGGTGAAGGAACGCTACACAAGGGCCCTGGAGGAGCTGAACCGCTGTAACCCCCGCTACATGGAGGACATGGAGCAGGTGTTCGACCTCACCCAGGAGGCCGAGCGAAAGAGGCTGCGCTTCTTTAAAGAAGTCCTGCTGGACATCCACACACACCTCAACCTGTCCGCCAAAGAAGGGTAGGACACACACACACTCACTCACTCACTCACTCACTCACTCACTCACTCTCTCACACACTCACTCACTCACACACTCACTCACTCACTCTCTCACACACAACACTCTCACACACACACACATACATCTTCAGAGAAAACAGGGTGATTCATGATCCATGATGCCGAATGAAGGCATGCAGAACTGTCGACGTGTGTGTGTGTGTGTGTGTGTACACAGGAGTTAATAGAAAACTCATGGTGTTGTCCATTAACTATTGACCTTTCGTTCTATTTAAACAAGCCACCGTTACCACGGCAACCGTGATTGGTAAAGTCCAACAAGATCTTTGTCCAAATATTGAGCAAAAATACACAATACTTTAACTCTGTGAAGAGGAACTTTACGTCACGCAGTGATGAAATTTGATGGGAATACACTTGGAAAAAGTGAACCGGTAATTTTATTTCATTGTTTTTCCTTAAAGTTAAATGGTTTTATTCTCCAAAATCAGAGTCAACTGTGTAAGTTGATTGCCGAAATGCAGTACAGAGACATTTGGCCCCTGCCGAGCTAATGAAAGACCACGTCATCCCACAGTGACCTTGGTCTAAACTCAAAATCCAGACTCGCAAACAAAGCTCAAACCTTAGTTTAGAAATTACCATGCTCGAGGGCGTTCATGAGCAGTGGTTCCCAACCTTTTTAACTTGTGACCCGTTAAAGGGATGTAATTCTCACATGCTGTGACGGATACCAACAAGCCTGGCTCTTTGGCGTTGCGGTCAAGTTGCGTGTTTGGTACCCTGTAGACCCGGGTTCAAATCCGCTCTTGAATTTCCGTCACACATGCCCATATGTACGTTTCACTGTAATCATTCCTCTTGTCCATTCTGGCTCTACGCAGATCCCTTTTAAATGTCAATTGGATGTAAGTGACAGGGAACAAAATCCACAGTCCTGTTCTGTTCAAACTTTCAGCTAAAGCTAATTAAAGTGAAGTTATGTTCTTCTAAGTGCCAAATTCCCTCTTTTTCTTATTGCTAACTTATATTAAATTGCCTCATATTAAATTCAGTTGAACTTGATGTATTTTGAACAAAGACTGTTTATTTTGAATCCCCATCACTTACTTTGAAATTGCGTTAATAAGGGAACTCTTTATGGCTAGAGACAAAAACCTGATTCAGTGCACATATGGACATCATTATTTTACAACTGACTTAGAAAAATGTGCACCTATCCTTTTTTTTTTAAATGAAGAAGTGTCTCCTTATGAACCCTAGCCATGGGTGTTTTTTGATTTTCAACAGTTCCAGTGAGACTTTGTTTTAGGTTTCAAATTTGGAGAAACCTATTATAGAGCAGTTTAAAGTAAACAGATTAGGTAGGATTGTGAGTCAGAAGTACACAAGTTAGATGATATATTTTACCGTTTTGTAAAAGTACATGTACTAAGGAAACTCCACATAGGGAGACTGTGAGATGTAGTTGAAACCTGGGAAGGCTGGATGTAGAAGAATGGATGCAGCTTTATCCTTCATATCATCTCTGAGTGTAAACAAACCTGCACGGATAATGATAATGCTGACTAGAACATATTCACATACAATGGTCTTATCTGGAATTCCTCCTTTAAATGGCGGCTTCAGGAATTTTAAAGGCCCAGCCCCCAGATTACATTGTGAAACCAGGAGTAAATAAAACGCACAGTATGTGAGCACTGTAATTCTGCCATGTTGAAATGGCAAATACCACAATAATGTTGTACCTCTTGCCTTCTAGCTGACTTTAAAGCTGCTCTAATCGATGCTTTTATGTTAACAAAGAATCAATTATTATAGTAATTCTCTGTAGGCTCATCTCCTTACCAGACATTTGGTAATAAAAAGATCAGTTATAGCTGTTTAAGCCTGAGAATTCATCAGAGGAGCTACATGTTAACCGGGAAAAATCAAATACAACATTGTGAAATAATACGACACACAAAATTGTAGCTATAAAAAAGCTGGAGAAACTTGTCCCCTTCCTAGTTTACATTTCCTAATTGAGCACAGCTAATGCCATTTGTCTGGGATTAGAAAATGCATCATGACATACAGTACTACGGTTGGTGTAAAGTATTCTTTTCAAAATGGGAATGTTAATAGATTATATTTATCAGTCAAAAAAATGCAAAGTGAGTGAACAGAAGAACAATCAAATTCAAAAATCAAATTAATTTTGTTGTGACCACCGTTTGCCTTCAAAAGAGCATCAGTTCTTCTAGGTTGACTTGCACATACTCTTTGAAGGAACTCAGGTATGTTGACCCAAACTTCTTGGACAACTACCCACTGTCCTTCTGTGGATTTCAGCAGCCTCAGTTGCTTCTCTCCTTTCATTTAATCCCAGATGGACTCGATGATGATGAGATCAGGGCTCTGTGGGGACCATACATCACTTCCAGGACTTCTTGTTCTTCTTTAAACTACAGATAGTTCTTCATAACTTTTGCTGTATGTTTGGGGTCGTTGTCCTGCTGCGGAGGATAACTTTGGGGCCAATCAGATGCCTCCCTGATGGTACTGCATGATGTATAAGTATCTGCCTGTACTTCTCAGCATTGGGGAGACCATTCATTCTGACCAAATCCCCAACTAAGTTTGCAGAAATGCAGCCCCAAACTTGCAAGGAACCTCCACCATGCTTCATTCTTGTACCGCTCTCCAGGCCTTCAGCGAACAACCTGCCTTCTGCTGCAGCCAAATACTAAAACATTTCAGTTCAGAGCACCTGCTGCCATTTTTCTGCACCCCAGTTCCCGTGTTTCAGTACATAGTTGAATTTCTTGGCCTTGTTTCAATGTCGAAGGTATAGCTTTTTGGCCGTAAGTCTTCCATGAAGCCACTTCTGACCAGACTTCTCCAGACCAGAGTCCCGCTGTTTTCTGCCAGCTCTGAGGTGATGGCACTGCTGGATATCCTCCGATTGTGAAGGGAAGTAAGGATGATGTGTCTTTCATCTGCTGCAGTAAGTTTCTTTGGCTGATCACTGCGCCTTTGGTCCTCAGTCTAGCCCATTTCTTTGTGCTGCTTCAACAGAGCTTGGACAGCACATCTGGAAACCTCTGTTTTTTCTGCCTGGGAGAGATCTTGCTGATGCAGTTTAACTGCCTTGTGTCTTGTTGCTGTGTTCAGTCTCGTAATGGTGTATGACTCTAGACAGTAAACTGTCTTCAGCAACCTCACCTTGTTAGCTGAGTTCGGCTGTTCCTCACACAGTTTTATTCCTCCTATGCAGCTGTTTCTGTTTCAGTTAATGAAAGACAACCTACAAGAACTTTGAAGGCAAAGGGTGGCCACACCAAATATGGATTTTGTTTAATTTTTCTTCTCTTCACTCACTTTGTATTTTGTTAATAATTATATATAATTACATGTCTATTTTTGAAAGTATTCTTACACACCTGTCTAAAACCTTTACCACAGTACTGCATGTTATAGGACAGACAAAACAGTATAAAGTGCAGACTACTGTTAAATGTTATAAATCCTCAAAGACTCTCTAATGACTGAATTTAAAGGAGGAGGAGGAGGAGGGTGTAGATGTGATGATTGACGGTCACTTTGTCCAATAGATTCAAAAGCCTGTACCGGGACCTGGGTCAGACCATCGAAGCAGCCAATGAAACTGAAGATCTCAGATGGTGGAGGAACACCCACGGACCGGGCATGAGCATGAACTGGCCACAGTTTGAGGTTTGGACCGATAGACAAACACACACTACTCGCTCTATTTCAATTCATACGGGACTATTTATATAACTTTCATTCATTTTTTTGAACAAGAAAACAAGGATACTGTGCAGGACTGGAGTAGTTCAGTGTGCGAAAGACAGACTGAATATTAAACAGGCTTCCAAAGAAAGCCTTGTTGTGTGCCTGAGACCTCTGAGTGGTGTCAGGAATGTCTGAATACACACACACACACACTGATGCAGGTTTATTTACTTGTTGGTGGAAATCTACACATTTAAACTACGCAAATATTACAGATAATGTAAAATCAATCAGCAGAGTCTGGGAGTCAGAAGTACAACTGTTTCTTCACATAGTTTAAAGGAAATGTTCTCTCAGCAAAAAAAACCCTGAATATCTCAAAATGTAGGAGTGATACCGCTCTCATGTTTATGCAGTAAATATAAAGCTACAGGCAGCAGCCTGTTAGCTTAGCTTAGCACAAAGACTGTAAACGTCTGGAAACAGCTCGTCTGGCTCTGTCTCCAGGTAACAAAAACAGCCTACCAACACTGATCAGTAATCACTAAGTAACACAATATATTAGTTTGTTTAATCTGTACAAAAAACTGAAATGTAAAAACAGCTTTTTTTAACATCTCAATAGAGCCAGGCGTTTGAGGACTGATCGTTATCAGTTACAAGTATTTCCACACCCTCTTCTCTCCAAATTGAAGGAATCATTATATTGTCCTATTTTAGGTCTGAAAAGAGCTGCAGACCCTATTGTCAAATCATAATAGAGATACAATGATCTGGATTCCTGCCTCCACCCCCCACACTTTTAGTTTTTGGCAACTACAAACTGACTGTGTGTGTGTGTGTGTTCCTGTTCCACCTTAAATTTCAATTTCGTACAAAAGAGTTGACATGTAATACTTACTGCACTAAAAGGCTGTTTTAGAAAATCCATTTGGCTGTTCTCTGCTTTCCATATATGAAGGTAACACTTCCGATGACTAAAGGAGTCCTGAACAATTCAATCAAACTGAGGAGTGTTTGCTCCTTTTAGTAAAGATTATTTTTAGCCATGTTCCAACAAAGTGGCAGCGCGTCGGTTGAGAGCTGCATCTAAGGTTAACTAACTGCAGTAAAAGATCCCATAACACAAGGTTTTTATGGGCAAAACCAGCACATCCTCATGTTCTGAAAGCTAAATAAAACAAAGTTTGGTCTGTATTGATTTAACATATTCAGCGGTTTCGTTATATGTTATTAATTAGCGTAAATACCAGAAAAGTTTGCAATTCAACAGCAGCACAAACAGCCTTAAAAATTGAACCACCAACTCACCGAAACATTATACTTTTTATGATTTATTGCAGGACTATTGTATGTAATGGCTAAAAATGTTATCACATGTGAGTAGATATTGATAATTATCACATAAATGTCAAATCTTTTATTTATTTTAAGTTTAAACAGATTTTCTCTCCTGGGTAAAAGTTGAAGAAACCAGAAGGTTAATTGTGGTTTTAAACTTTTCTTTATTGTCAGAACAAACACTTCATGCCAGTGGATCACTTAACAAATCTGTGGTAGAACATTGAAAACAATAAGGATAAAAATCTTTTTTTCAACAATATGCATGAGTAAAATGAAGTAAAATCCTTTTTTAGTCCTTTTTCCTCAGCAAAATAAATATCTTTATAGAAAAATTAAGTGCTGATTCTTTAATGATTCAAATGAATTGAATATTTGTTATATTTGTCAAGGAAAATTATATCGCAATAATTATTGTTATAGTTTTATTGCCCAGCCCTACCTCTAACCTGATTGGATGACAGGTTACTGCTGCCATATATTCGGTTTTTGTTTCTTTATGTAAGAAGGTAAAATAAAGTAAAATAACCCTATCTCGCAGTTTGCAGGTTGAATATATGCTGTTCAGACTTGTTTTTACTTAGACATGCTAAGCTTAGCTGATTCAAGGGTATTTTGATTACATCAGGGGACGTAAAAAAAAAAAAAAGGCTGCTGCAGGAAATGTTGTCATGTTAGATGGATATTTTACCTTATCACCGCTGTGTTAAGCTTTACCAACACTTTTGAGTAGTCTGTCTGATTTGCCATGTTGTAAGCACACATGTACATTGACCTCTAATCTTTTCCTTCAGGAATCCAAAAGCTGGTGTTAAGCATGTTGCGTTTTTATTACCCAATCCTACTCTTCAGTTACTCTATTTCAGGGGTAACTGAATAGTAGGAGTAAAACTTTAAGTCCCCCTAGGATAGTAAACAATTACAACTTTTCATATGAACACATTAATATTATTACTAGAGCCCGACCAAAGACTGATACAGATTTTGATATTTGAAGATTATTAAATCCGACATTTCGATTATCTTCTTCTTTTCAGAAGCACACGAGATAAACATAGTTTATCCCTAACATTTGTTAAGTGTAGTTAGTTATGAGACCTCACCAAGATAACATGACATAATGCAGCTTTTGTTATAAATGGTACTTTGTACAAAAGTACAGCTGATCGCTTGTACCATTTTGGGTTTCAGTGTAACAGTAAAGAATGACAGCTGAGGCCCGCACAGTATGAAAACTGTGCTTTTGAAGTTCAGTATAGCACAAACAGCTTAAAGGATAATTTCTTTGTCATGAAGTCAGGTTGAAGTCAAGAGTTTGACGGTGTCTGGAAAATTTGGGGGGAGCGTGCATTTGGAAATGTCTTCATATTTCTTTCAGTGTAATCCACAGTGAGAATCTTTGCTGTAATGACAAAGTGAAAAGTATTTTTAGTTTCTCCAAGATTGAAAAATAAGCGGGGGGGGGGGTGTTGGCAGAAAGACATGAATCTCTTCTGTCCTCTGAGGAATCTCCTGGCGTTCCCACAGGGCAGCTAACACGCAAACAGAAAGCCATTGTCCACATACACACACCTACACACGCATTTGTATTATACTATACTCATTCATAACTCCAACCTTAACTCCTCTGCTACATACTTGTACTTTTAGAAATGTAAGACTTTTGAAGAGATGTCCTCACCTTGGAGGAAAATCTGTAATCCTCCTTTTTGAGAGGTATAGACATGTTCATGTGTGTTCTTCTATATCTGTGAGGACTTTTGGTTCAAACACACACACACACCTCCTGTAGCGTTGATAGTTCTGTGCAGTGAGACTGTAAATACCGGTAAACGTATCCCCCATCCACCTACTTCTGTCAGAACCCTGTTATTATGGCCAAAGTGTGTGTTTGCTTTTGTCTGAGTGTGATCCGATCAGACTCCACTGATTATCTACCACAGGGCGAGAGTGTTCATTAACTGGCCACTAAGACAAAAAAAAAGTAAGCAACCCATTTGGAGACAATCATCCTCATCAAATCTTAGAAAATAGATGAGGTGCGTTTTGTTCAGTTTAAGATTGTTTGAGTTTTTATGAGATATTTGCCACAGCAGGTGTTTTTGTTTTGTCATTATTGTATTAAACAAGTTGTCATTTTCGTATAATTGTCCAATATTAACCCTAAATATTTTATTATTTTCTAGATTATAATATGTTGCAGTTTACCATTGAAATATAAATCCTCTGAATAGAATATAAATACCCCAAACAGCCAATGTACAGACTGTACAAACATTAGCTGTAAGCTATCTAGCAACCGACCTTGTTTATGTAAGTGTGTTTGTGTGGCAGGTCAGCCTCTGACTGAACTCCTTTTTCTTTTTATTATTTCTCACCAGTCTCCTGTTACCTCTTGTCTCTGTATGTTCATAAAGTAACGCTAGACCCAAAAAGCCCCATGAGCTTTTATTCCCACTCAAGCTCAAACATTTTCCACTCGTGCAGTCGCATCTTCACATTAATTTGTGCTGCCCGGGCAAATTAGTGTTTTTCCACTGACTTGCAATCACACCCCGTCTAAACACAGTAAAAAATTATATATAAATATCAAATAATGCCAGTTCTCATCAGTATCTATTTAGAGTGTGCTAACATTCGCCGCCATATGCAAGTGGTCCTACCAGACTGAGCAAGGCTGTAGCAGCAAAACCCCTGAGATTATTGAATTTAGCAATGTTGCGTTTTATTGCTTATGAATCTGGCTTTTCATCTGCAAGAGGAAGAATGCGTTATTTCAAAACTGTGTTTACAAATTCTGTGTGTGTGTGTGCGCAGGAGTGGTCTCCGGAGGCGAGTCGCTCCATCAGCAGGAAGATGCGAGGTGGAGAGTCTGAGGAGAACGTGGTCACCCTCACCAACATTGTCTCCTCAGGTGGAGGTGATGTCCCGCCGAGTCCCATCACCCTGGACACTGGCAGGTTGGACAGCTCCATGTCTGCTGCAGACAAACTACAACAATCGTTACTAATGTTTCATTACAGGGCTGGATCCCTGATCTTTTTTTATCCGCGAACAGGTGCTCTGTTGCCTTCAGTTTGTCAGAGGAAGCGCGATATAAACCTGAGCGCCATCGTGTGTGTGTGTTTCCATTACTTCAGAGGAGATTACATTGACTTGCATTCATTCCCTGAAGAATTAACATAAGCATAAACATAACCACTACTTGCCTTACCCTTACCCTACACCAAGTCTTCACCCTAAAATGTAATGATTCAGGTGATGGGGACTAAACAGACAACATGTAGAACAAATAGAGGCAGTATGCAGTTTATTTTGTTGCCTTGTAGTCACCCTGAGGAGTTAACATCCTGTGCAAATGAGCACTCTAATTAGTAGCTAGAAAGCTGTCTCCTTCTAGTTACTATCGGGCACTTGAACACACAGCGGGGAAAAAGAAACACTGCAAAACCATCAAAATGGTGAGATTGTGCTCAGGTGTCTCTTGCAGATGAGACACAAAGCAGTCACATTAAACTCACTCGTCCACCTCTCTTAAAAGTGTGCTCTGTGCTCGATGTTTTTTAGCTTTTACAAAGACACTTTTTGGTAAATCAGAGTGCTGTTGGTCATAGTGCTGTGTGTGTGTGTGTGTGTGTGTGTGTGTGTGTGTGTGTGTCGCCATGTTGTGCCGTTACGCAAATCTTGACAAATGTTAAATGTCACATAAAAAAACGTTATGCAGATGATGCACATTTGGTAGTTTGAGACCCCGGTATTGCAGCATGCAACGTCATTCCTATGTTCCCAGGGTCCTATGTTCCCCAGATTTGAAGGGTACATAATGGGAACATGACAAAGGGTCATATTATGTTCCCCATTTCTGGGGCTAGGGGGTTGGGATCCTGGGAAAAAGATCATGCTATCACATGAGGCTCATGCTATCACATGAGGCTACTTTTGGCTGTTTCCTTTACGAGGCACTGCTATGGCAGGCTATGCTAGTTCTTGAAATTGCTAGCTTTAATAAGCGATTTAATAAGAACTGTATCACCTTTTTTGAAGGTATTTACCATGGTTCCAGAGTCGGTCAATTTTCAGGCAAAGACTTTACAGACACCCTGAGCAAGTGCATGCTGATGTATTGATTAGCATATGACTTCATGTCCCAGATCACACCTTTGTTCAGTCATTTAGTCTTCACTGCAAATTGAACATACAATATTTTACTCTTCAGCCAGCAGTAAATTGAGATTTCTGATACTAATGAATCATCGGTTTGTGACATCCTTGGGGGTTGTAGTGATGCATTTAGAATTTGAATTTTTTGGTGCTAGTATGTTGTGCATAAAACATACAGTTGAAATTTGGACATCCTCAAATAAAATGGGGAAAAATAAATAAAGTACTAGGTAGAGAGACGGCTATAATGATTTTCTGTGCAGCCATTAGCAGCTTTCTGCTCGTCAGTGATTCTGTCTGCATCAGCTGGTTTCTTGTCTCCCACCGTGAGCTGACTGTTGTGCCATAATCTCTCTGTGGTGTCTTACTCCTCACAGCCTGAACCTGCACCGCTCAGACATTTTCACACACCCTGTTCCCCACAAGACATCCATAATGATGACAGCTGTGGTTGCCAGGAGTTATGTGACGCAGCTACGGAGCCTCTATTAGTTTATTTACACCTCAACTGGTGCACATTAACTTTAAAGGGGTATATGCAGTAACCCAGGGAGCTGGGGGAGGGGGGGGGGGGGACTTAAAATCAGGCTGCAGCCAAATAAATTTGAGGGAATATGTGACTGTTGCTGCAACTTTACAATGTTTTTATTTGACCTAATTTAACTCTTTTTCTTAAAACAACATAGAATAGATTTTAACAATAGTTTTCAAAGTATCAGCACCTTTATTGATGAGAATATTAATGGCATTTATCACTATTGGACAATAATTTCTGTATTCAGGTGCTGATCAAACACTTACGATCTTTCTGTCAGAAAAATATAACCAACATTTGGTGGTTGGCAGGTGTAAATTTCAGTGCCTGTATATGTGTGTCTTTCTGACTTTGTCTCTCTGTCACGTCTCTTCTCTCAGGGTGAAAGATTATTCGTCAGACTGGTCAGACGAGGAAAGTCCCAAGAAGGTGCTGGCAGAGAACGGTGTGGGGGAGGCGGAGGATGAGGAGGATCAGGTAGAGGGGGTGCGAGTCCGAGCACTCTATGATTACACGGGCCAGGAGGCCGATGAGCTCAGCTTTAATGCAGGTATTAACACTTACTAATGCTTACAGAGGGGAGGCATCACAGGGGAGAGAGTGGAGTTTTGGTTTGATTGATCGGTTTTAGTTTTATGAATGCTGTCGCTTTATAAAATGTGCAGAGCAGGCAAAGTAAAACTAAACACCTGTACAATCAAATGCAGAATTTTAGGACTGTTTGCGTTTGGTGCAGAGAGGGTTTTAGTAGGCTATTTATTCAGCCTGTTATCTCAAGATCACAACTTAATCACAAGATAAAGTTGGGATCAGTGCACCAAAAAAACATTATACAGAAAATGTAATAAGTCATGATCATGTGAAAACTGAGGTAATAAGGATATGACTCGGTTGTGAAAAACTATAAAAAGCAACGTTCGCGGTCGGCTTCTATAAGTGCCGTAACCATAACCCACAAAAATAAATATTAACAAATGGTCTGTCCCCACTCTGCATAACACAGTACATTAGTATTTATTAAAGGGTTACTACTTTGTGGGATTGGATTTTTGTAAGTGGTCTTGATATTGTCCGTTTTTTTTTGTTTTTTTTCACCTAAAAAAAATTCAGTTAAAAAGTATTTTCCTCATTTACGTAGTATTTTGTTTATAACATTACCCCCCTAGTTAGCCTAAAGAGAAAATTAAATCTGACATAATCTCTTTAAATAAACCGATTTACACATTTTTAAGAAATTACAGCTTTTATGAAACATTAATTTTATTTATTTAGATATATATATTTGTACGTCCTAGTTGAATAAAGTTTATATTTCAGAGCCAGAAATGTCCATTGATCCCATCATTATTTTTTTTTTTCAACTGTGATGTCTCCTCTTAACACATTTACACACACGCACACTCATGTCAAACACAAGACATGAGTGCAGATCAAACGCAGTAAGACTGTAAAGTAGTGGAGTCACACCTGTTAGATCTTACCTCAGTCTGCATGTCATCACTGCTGTGATCTGTTGAGCCGCTCGCCTTAAAGTTCATGAGTCTTGCATGAATGAGTCCATCTGAGTCACAGACACTTTATCGGCTGCAGCTTCAGTAGATTAACAAAACTTCCTTGTTTGGTTGCCATCTGGGTTTAAATCAAGAAACACAACGTGTGAAACTGAAACAAATTTTATTTCTCTGAACACAGAATGAGACTATTTTTGCTCCATCTCAGTTGTTAAACTTTCTGTGACTTGAATTTGATCATTACTGCAAAGGTTTCTGATGTAAACTCACAGATAACACGAGAAGTGTGCGTTTCTGCTGCGCCTCACTGCATGATGTGTGCAGCTGTGGCAGATGTGAAGTGTGAGCAGCCTGATGAGTTCTGTTTTGGAAATAAAAGCATTTAGAGTTCAGTTTCAAATAAGTGTGAAATCAGAACAGATAGTCAGAGGATTGATGCTTTTATTTTGATGGAATAACTTGCTGTTCTAGTTTGCTCTTAGTTAAAACTGTCTCATCCAAGAACTCTGGTATTTGTTTTGGAAATAAAACCTTTTTTTGGTTTTATGTTCCTGATCTGCTGGATGTTTTGACATATATCAAGGATGCTAATTGGTTGTGTTGTTGGATTATGATTGAATAATTCGATTCCACACTAATATCATTCACTCACCTGTCAGGTAAGTCAAGTAAAGTCACCCTTATTTATAACGGACTCTATACGCAGTTGATCTGAAGTGCTTAAAAGACAAATGCGATGAAAAGAAAAGACATTTAGTTTGTGAAAACACAGAACAAGATCAGAGACTTCAGTTTATCAAGGTAATTTATTGTCTGATGAATTACTGTCATTAGACATATTGTATTCGCTGTATGTAGTATTTACAGTCAAATGGTCTTTATGACAAGAATACATCAACCGTTTCTGTGTGCACTATGTATTCCAATACTTTATCACTCCACTTTATTAAAAAGTTGTCGCCTTTCAGCCCAATTTGCCGTTTTTGAATGAAAAATATGGCACCATCATGATTTTTTTATGTAGTGGAGGAGGAGGGGTCTCGCCTGGGCAGACACATTGCATATAAGGCTTGACCTCGTGGTTGTCATGGTGGTCGTGGTTGCTGTAACTTGAAATGTTGCTGAGCAGTGTAACATGGACAGCAACGTTGAGCTGGTGGTCAGAGCTAACGAGCAGCTACTGTCAAGACTCTGCGTCTGCTGGAAAGACAAGGAGTCTTCTAAAGCTTTGCTGTCACTAGAAGCACATTTTTGCCCCTTGAGAGAGTCGCTGAGTGGGTACTACGCTGTAGCTCAGTCAGCGGTTCTACTATGAAAGGCTCTCCGGTTTGTATGTCTGTGGGGTCACTGTTCGTGAGCCCTAAATATCTTATTGAGCTCTGAACACAGCACAGTTATCAGGGGCCCATGTTTTGTGTTTACTGCTGTGAACATTGTCAACATACGTTTACGTATCTCTAAGTCACAGTTAGGAAGGGGCCAGAGATTTGATAAAGCTCCTTATTGACTCTGATGGCATGGCTCTGATCCTGAAATGTCTAGATGTTGGTACGGGAATACATCGTATAAACCCCCCGACTCAGTGTGAAAACTCCTCTCTGTCAGATTAAATGAGCCATAGCCACTAAATTTAAAAAATAAGAAATCAATCAAGCATTTGATTCCAAGCTACCATGTGGTTTTATCTTTAAAGAGGTGGTATTATGCTTTGTGGCTTTTTCCCCTCTCCTTTATTGAGTTTATATATTTTTTTGTGCATGTACTAGGTTTGCAAAGTGAAAAAGCCCAAAGTCCAGCCCAAAGGGAGTTCCCCTTCGAGGGAACTCGAACTGCGTCGGTTACGACACTATGAGGCGTTCCCATAGTGTCGTAACCGACGCAGTCTCTCGTTCCCCTTCTCGGGGAACCAGGGTTACATACGTAACCCGAGACGTTCCCATCTCCCACAGAAAACTCTGCTCTGAACTGAAAACAGCTTGTTTGTAGTCCAGCCGCTTCCCTTTCATCCCTGTGACGACTACTAGCCAATCAGAAGCCCTTCTCTGCTTCTGACTGGCTAGTAGTCCTTAACTAGGAACTGAGCATGTGCAATTCCCAACAAAGATCATTTAGAGACCAGATGTATCACTCCATAGCTAAAACGAAGCCTTCAACACAGGGTGAAAAGAGGAGCTGCAGCAATGTGCAGTATGACAAAAATATGGTGTTTTTTGAAAATTAAAACATGTAAACCTGTTCTGGCACAACCTCTAAATAACCTGAAAATGAGCATAATACCACCTCTTTAAGTGAACTGAATATGTTTATAGATTCCAAAATCACCTTACAAAGACATATAGAGCTACAAAAATTAATTAATTGGTTGTCTACTATTTAATTACTCTTTTAAAAAAATTCTCTTCCAGCTTCTGAATGTGAATATTTTCTGGTTTCTTTGCTCCTCTGCCAAATTAAATAGACAATCATATTTTTCTTCTTCTATTATTATTATTATTATTATTATTCGGGGAGAGAAATGTTTTCCTGCCCTGGTGGGACAATAAAATAGTTTAATAAAAAATAAACTATTCTGCTGCTGAAAACGGGGTTGCAGTTGAAAGTTTGGTGTTTAGCTAACATTTACAGAAATGCTGATTAATGTGGGTTGTCCTTAATAATAATAAAGGAGCGAGAAACAAATGAAACTGAACGATAAAGTGCCGCAAAACCAAACACTGAGCTAAAAGAGGCTACAAAACTCTGTGTAGCTGCACCGTCGATGATCATTCTCTCAGGACTGCGCTGTGGATGGTGGCTCACTTTTTAGCAAGAGGTAACGTTGCTGTGGCTGTGGTTTGCACAGGGAGATCCGAGGAGCTTTAGTCCGTCCTCTAAGGCGGTTGCGCCTCACGGGAGGTTTGAGGGACACTGAGTTAATGGGACCTGATGGGACCACAGAGGGAGAGACCTTAGTTTGGAAAAGCTTAGCCAAGCTCAGCTCTGCTTAGCCTGAACAAGGACCAGGTCACTGGTCAACGGGGACAGGTGGCCCTCTTCTCCTCCGGTGTTGATTATTTTTATCATGAATGAATTCTTCTTCCCACTTTCAGTGTAAACGCAATGCTTTTAATTTAAACTCTGACTTTCCATCATGTTACTTACAGGCGAGGAGCTTCTGAAACTGGGAGAGGAGGACGAGCAGGGCTGGTGTAAAGGACAGTTAAGCAACGGCCAGGTCGGCCTCTACCCCGCCAACTACGTCCAGGCTGTTGCTTCCTGATGGCCCGCCCTCTCTGGTCACCCAGCCAATGGTACAACTACACTCAAGATGCCAGGACAAGTCACAAGCTACTAGTGCTGACACGTAGACAGTGAAACCAGACAGTTTCTGGTTACTGACTTTAAAACTTGTCAATTTTTTCCCCCCTTTTATCTTGTTTGAGTTACATTTTTGAAAATCAGCCAGTGGAAGAATTCACTTGTTGTGTAAGGCCGTGTATTCAGCCTGAGGTCAATGACGTTGTTGTTTGAAAGAAGCTTTACAGGCATAGAGTCTCCAGAGGTCTGCCAAGATGAACAGACTGAACACTGCAGAGCAACATGGACGTTAAGTGGTGGGACGTCACCCACCTGACGGGACATTTGATCAAACTTTGGATTTTGTTTTTCGCTTGCTGCCGTCATTTTCAGTCACTAGAAGTCAGAAACACAAATCCTGGGTGGAGCTGAGCAGCACTGAGCAATCATGTCATGGCTGACTGACCGAACAGTTAAACACACCCCAAAACATGCTTATTTTTAGCTAGACCAGAAGCACAGACTTTAGTTTGTCCTCATATTACTTTCATACATTAGTCATTAAAAATATAGAGGTTATAGAGAACTTAGGACTTTTTCAGTAGATTTCTTTGATCCAGCATCTAGTGGCCATTATAGGAACTGCAGCTGGAGGCACCTCTTCATAGTCTTCTCTGCTCAGCTTTGTGTGGTTGCTACTTTAATCAAAGAGCTGACAAAAAAGCCCAATGAGAGACTGTCAGTGCCTTAGTCAATGAGGTCAGAAATGTTACAGCACCACCCTTCTGTCTGACCGAGGAATCACAACTGTCTGATGGCCTCCGGTCTGATCCCAGTAGAATCCAGTGGATCTCCTATTACCTGGACTCTGATTGTGCAGTCTGTAACCTTTCCTGCCCCATCCCCCTCTTCATTTAGCTTCGCAACAGGATGCTTTGTTATTTTGTAGGTTTCTAGGTGTGACACTGAATTCACTTTCTTTCCTTTTATTGATTTTATTTTTATTATTTTTTAAATTGTGATAGCTGTATCTTTATATCAAGTCAACTGATTTTGATTATGGATGGTGTAAACTGCTACCTGTTTCTTTTAAGAATAGCATTTTTACAGTCCTTATTTACTGTCTAATTTATTTTCTTCATGAATTTAGCAATCATTCTTCATTTTCAACTGACTAAGGCAGGGAGAGTAAAATTGACTGTTAGATATGGGTGATTTAACCTGTGGAAGGTGGTTTTGTTGCTAGTTTTGTTTTTTTGCTGTGCTGTGATCATGAAACACAAACAGCTCAAACATCTAAAATAAGTGGTAATATTTTGTCTGGGTTTGGGTTTTCATGTCTAAGCTTATGTTTTGTGTGTGAGGGAGCCTCCTCTGTCCTGCTGATCTGAGAGTCGCTACACCTTTGTAGACGTTAAAATAATGAGAGATAATAGAGCTGCTCCTTTTCTTTCCTTTTCTTTCCAAAACTGTAACATAATCCGTACATAAAGTGGGAAGCAATAATAAAGAGCTTTCTGCAGTTCGAAGTTTCTTTTGTCCATATATTGCTTTTACACAGTAGTAATAAATCCTGCAGACATGTCAAGTAAGTACATCATAGAGTTGGGAAGTGTTCGGGCACACCTGGTTCTGGAAGCAAGTTATTTTTCTAGTACTGAAAATCTTTACTCAAGTAAAAGTGAAAACTATCATTTGACAAACCTCAAGTAAAAGTATAAAAGCACTTTGTCAATAAAGTTTTTATGCTACAAATCTCAAATCGCTTTTTGCAATAGTGTTTCATCCGCTGTGCATCATGGGTATTTCTAGGGAATATACTTGTGCTTTTCTTGTTGATTATCTTCAATGAAGCCATTTCTGTTTAACACAATCATTTTACCTTTTTAATCAACATGAAGGTATTGTTAAGATCACTTTAACGTATCGCACTAGCTTGCTGCTTAGCATACCATTGTTGCTCGTAACCAATTCAATGTGATGGCTCCTAAAGCAACTATGAACATAATCTGTACAATGTAAAGGATTATTGTGGCAGTAACAGGGGAGCAGCCTATTGTATTGTTGAATGAAGTAGGGTAAGCC